CACACACACACACACACACACACACACACACACACACACACACACACACACACACACCCCTAAAAGGCTTTCTTTGCTGAAGTGATTGTTTAAACTGATCCTTGATTTTCTCCTGTATAAATTTGATAATACCAGTGGAATGCCCTTCATGCTTAGTTGCACTCTGTTTAGTAAACGCCAAAACTTCATTGTGCAGAAATTTGGACATTTATAGAAGTGGCATGAAGCACATGTGTAAAGAAAAGTTTATTTTTTGTATATCATTAAATTAGAAAGGTTTGTTAAGGATAATGTATGTTTGTGTTTGGACTCTATTTCCCGCCTCGTTGACTCGTTTAATTGGTGTCACGCTTCCTCTTGGAGAAAATGTTAATCAGTAGAGTGTGTTTGAGTCACAGTAGAGCCAACAGTGATCTTTTTAAACCACACCTCTGTTTTTGAGTTTAGGATATTTGACTCTTTCAGGCCTTTTTATCTAACCGATGGCTTCCTGTTCCTGCTCCTCCTGACAGAAATACGCTCATGTCCGACAGGCTCAGCGGGGCTCCAAGCCCTATTACACCTCTGTGATGTGGTGGTGTGGGGTGCTGCTCATGGGCGTCGGGGAGCTGGGGAATTTTGCCGCCTACGGCTTTGCCCCAGCATCACTCATCGCCCCGCTGGGCTGTGTGTCTGTTATAGGTGAGTGAGAGCTTTTCATAATCTTTGCATGGAAGCAGGAGAAATGTTTGCCCCTTTAGAAATCTCCATTTACCATTATTTAACAAGGCAAGTCCCACTGAGATCTCAGATCTCTTTTTCAAGCGTGGCCTGGGCYTGAAGGCAACCTATAGTACATGTTTTTTTTGGGGGTTGGGGGAAACCGGAGTACCCGGAGAAAACCCACGCAAGCACGAGGAGAACATGCAAACTCCGCACTGAAAGACCCCAGGTCCGAACCGGGGATTGAACCCAGGACCTTCTTACTGTGAGGCGTCGGTCCTAACCACTGAGCCATCGTGCCGCCAAATAAATATTGTATGTTATAAATGTTCTTAAATGCTAAATTTGATTGTGTTTTAAGCTGTTTTAAAAATCTGTCTAATCTAGAACATGTAAAACATTTTAAAAGGATCTAACAGATCTAGAATTAGCATAAGGACAAATAAGTTAATTCTGTATTTCTTTACATTACCTTTATTTAATCAGATTTGAAACTCAATTGAGATTAACATCTTATACAGTACACATCATCAAAAAGTTACATAWGTCACAACCTTAAAAGGCAGGGACTGTGAGAATAACATAATATTATTTTAAACATTGACAAGGATTGATGAACAGTGTCGCTTAATGTTAAGATATGCCATGAGTACTTTGGCTCTTCAAAGAAATGAGATCTGGCATTTTGAGTTCAGACTGGACATGGTTCCATGCTGTTGAGGCAACACTGCCTGTTACCTTTTTTCAGTCCAAACTCAAGGCACCATCAGAAGAAAAATGTTGTTTGAGTGAAGTAGTAGCAACTGTTTGTATAAGAGTGAACCCAAGTAAGACGGGGCCTTACAAAGCAAAATCTTAAATCAAAGACATCCTGTGAGTATCTTTGCACACTCAGAGGCCAATCAGCTCTGGTATACAGCTCCCAGTGATGTGTGAGACGTCTGCAGCCAGTTACAAACTTCAAAACAGTGATAAATTGTATTCAATGATTGGAGACATTTGGCTGAGGCGCTCATGTACAAAACATCACCAAAATCAAGCGAAGGTAAGAAGGTTGCTGAAACAATTATTCTATAGAACCCAAGTTTCTTAGTTTTTGGGCCAAATTGTCAAYGTGTGTCTGAAAAGAGAACTCCTTATCTAGTGTAAAACCCAGGTATTTCTAACTGGAAACAAACTCCATTCATGCTTTGGACAGTGGAGATGACTGGAGCAGACTCTGATAACCTTCTTGAATGCGTGAAGACCATAGCTTTGGGTTGATCTGCATTTAGGACTAATTTAAGTTCATGTAAACCAGACTAAACAATGTTAAATGTAGACTGTATTTGGTTAAAGAYGCTAAAAGGCCCAGAATACTCAATGCGTGGTCATGTGGTTTTTCATTGTTCATATTCCTGAGACACACTGCACTGAGCTCCCGGGAAACCCCTCCCACTGCATGGACTTTCTTCCTGCTGGAGTCTACATCTTTTAACCGCAGTTATTTTGGCCATAAATCTGGGCCGGTTAAAGTGCCACAGTTTTTGTCAGACAGATTTTCCCCCTGCAAACCGTCTGCTTTATCTCCTTCCAGGAGTTTTCAGCCGTTTGACTATCTTTACATATGTCTGCTTCCAGGTACAACAATCGGATTCTGGAAGTGAGTWGTTCAGAATCGGAATACAATTTATTGACCAGGTGTTCTTACATACAGTACAAGGAATTTGATGTGTTGTTGCTGAGGTGCTGAACATTCAATGCAAACGAGAAATGAAAATTATAAAAACTAAARGTACAAATAATTGTCATTACTAGTCTTTGTTCCGTTGTTGCCAATTTAATTGCTACAGAAACCAACGAGTGTTGAATATTAAAATCTGCATTAGACAGAACAAGGCTTCTGATTTGAAATAAATTAATATGCACGATGTACARGCTGTGCCTGTAATAAAACTAACCACTAGGACAGTTGGTGATTCTGTGCATCACAAAAGGGGCTCTTTTTTTTTCCACTTGAGGACCTGCCCCCAGAAATGTCTGTGCATGCCACTGTGCATTGTGAATGAAGGATAAAGTCCATTTCATTAGCCAGTCAAAACAGAGCCTGTCTGGCAGCTGTTCAGTGCGAAGCCTCTAAACACAGGTTAAATATTGAACAGCTTTTCCTTTTCCCTCCCGCCACCCATCACTCACTGCGCTGAAGGTGGTAATGAGTCGGTGATATTAATGACAGCTATTAACCCGCTGCACTGAATGAGTTTCCTCTTGGAAGTGAATGAATGGTTCAAATAAAACAATAAGCACAAATCCTGTTAAGAAGGGTGAACCTCTTGTTCTTTGTAGTTTTCTGCTTTATTTGTTTCAGTGAAAAAAGGCTTTTTTCTGAAACTACAGAGCTCAAAGGGGACTGTTGAGCAGAAGCAACAACCTTTTAATCTGTACGGTTTATAAAACTGTCTGTTCTACAGGCTTTACCAGAGCTTTTATCCATTTTACCGTCTCACAAATTATTTAAAAATGGATTATTGTTGGAGACAAGCCAAGTGCAATATTGTTACGCAGCTGAAGTCTTCTTAAATAATCATCTAAACTAATTAATGCAGCAGCGATAAAGAGGTGGAAGGAGGAGGAAGATGTCTGCATCCTTGACACGCTCTGTTCTTACAGCTGATGGGTGAGGCTGAGGGGGGGTATGGCAGGCCATTTTACCATAAAATCAGCTTTGGCACACTTACATTTCAGATATCTGAAGTTGGTTCATGACTAGACGTACTTTGTATTAGTTAATTAAAATATCTCTTACATTCTGACTAGAATAAATGATGTCAGATTGAACATTAAGTTGTATAGAGGAGGCTTAAATGTAAGATCTTGAAAGAAATGTAGACAAGTCAAAAATACAGTTCTGCACATCTAAGTTAGTTTTGACTACTCTTAATTCCAACTAAAGACATGACATTATTATTCAAGATATGTTAAATGTATGTGTATATATATATATATATATATATATATATATATATATATATATATACATATAATACATATATATACATATAATACATATATATATACACATATATATATATATACATATAATATATATATAATATATACATATAATATATATATATATATACATATAATTTGATTAGTGCAAATTAAATTGCAGATATCTTGAAAGCAAAAAATGACCCTACAAATCTATTTCAGAGATATCTACAACTATAATTTTAAGTAGTGTAGAGATAACCCCCATTAAAATCCTGAACATGATTTTAATTATATACAGTATTATATTAATAAATATTCTACCTAATTAAAACGTCACAGATTTATGTGGCATTTTGGCAGAAAATTTTGCTTCATGCATTATCTTAATTTGCTGCAATGTCAGGTCAGTCCAGCTCAAATTCTGGTGTGTTTTTTTTACAGGATTTTTAGCTGCAGCTCAACATGAGTGAAGAAACAGATAATTTCTTGTCGGTCATTGCTGTCACGCAAAATTCTACAGGCAACAATTTGGACAGCTGAGTGGCAGCAGGGGGCTTCTGTGCAATTTCAGATATCTAAAAATGTAATTTTGACTAATTATAATTACATTTGAGGTATCTTAAATTGTAATTACTGATGTTTAAACGATGAATCCAGTGACACCATATAAGACATTTTAAAGTGTAATTACTGTATACTGTATATCTTGAAGCTGGATTTATGTTAAAATGGCCTGCTATATGTACGTTCCTCCTGACGTAACTCCAGCTCTCACCCCACACCGACACATACAGAAACAAACACAAACATGCCCACATGATTGGTGCATAGCTGTAGTGATGTGTAGAAACACCTGGGTCTAAAGAAGTTGTGTTGATCAGACACACACACACCTCCTGCTGTGCTGTTGGGCCTGTTTTCTGCAAGCTTTGTGACAGCTCAGAGTGGGGCACAGACTCAGGGATGCCTTCAGTGAGTAAACAAGAGGAAATGATTGGCAAAAGCCAAAGAGGGTGAAATGAGAAGAATAAAATAAAAAAAGAGAAAGGTGAATGAGTTGAATAAAACCTGCTGCATGTGTAGGAGAAAAGTGGAAATTCAGATTTTTGAATGGGACAGGAGAGGATGAAGAGAGCTGCTGTCATCTCCCCGTCCACGCTCGTCACACTGGCACTCTGACGCTCCGTGGAGAGTAATTATTGCTGTCCTGTCTGCAGAGCTCTCTCTGTTAGGAATGACAGCCTCATCCAAACCCTGTTGTACAGAGCGGAGCGTTGGCCTGCTTCCTCTGATATCATCACATTCAAAGGAAAAGGAAGTCGGACACGGTGGAACTAAAGAGAAACCCACACAGGACCTGCAGGGCTCTGTTGTTCATCAGTTCTTCTAGTTTTAAACAGTTACACGTCAGTTTATCACTGCTTTCATTTACAAAGGTAAAACCAGGAATTAAATTTTCATTACATTTTCATGAAGGTTTGGTTATATTCAAAGGGATATTTTTGACATTTTGAGGTGGTGTTCTGTGTAAAAGTCATGAATGATTATCTTCCCTGCTGTCTTTCAATTTAAATAGTTTACATCCAACATGAACGCAGATCTAATTATGATTCTGACATCAGCTCAGACCACAGTTGTTTTCTGCTGCCTAACAACTACAGTTTTCAAAATTTTATAAAGTCCATGTGAGCACTATTTTATAAATCTTTACACAACCATAAGATTCTGAAAAAAATTGTTACGTGAAATTTATAGTTATTTGCAGGCCCAAAGAGCACTAGCTGCCTGGAGAGATATTTCTGTGAAAATGCACTTACTGTAATAGTTTGCGTCTACTATGTGTCATTTTGGTATTAGTCTGATTTTCTGTCTTGTCTTTCTCTGTTTACCCCCTCCTGCCTGTCTTTGCCCCTGCCCCGCCCACTCTCACCTGTTCCTCATGTTTCTCTCCCAGGTGTTTCGTTTCTGCTAATTATTTCTCCTTTATGTTCTGTTCTGTCTTC